AAAAAAATAGATCATAACTAAATTTATGCTATTTTTAAGCTAAAATTGTTACACAAACTCTACAGCTTAAGGAATAGTACGAGATTGTCCAAATCAGGCCAGGCAAAATCAAGCAGTAGAGGCGAATCGGAACGAGCAACCAAATGTTCCAGATGTAGCTAGTGCCACTGTAAGGCTTTTTAAAGTAACAGAAAAAGAAACTTCAAAAGAGGATGAGTACCTCATAATATATGTGGATGAGGACGATACGTTGTTTGACATAAGGAACCTAAGGAAGAGGCGGCTGCAAAATATGGAGGAAGGGGTACATGCAGCAAAAAAGAGAAAGGGCAAAGGAGCAGTAGTCTCGGTGAACGAAGCTAGCAATAAAACTTTCAACAAGGGATTAGTGATGTATATACCAATATCCGAGTTGACTCAAGAGGTTGACATTCTTAAGCTAGTAGCAGAAAAAGAAATAACTATTACATTGGGTCAGTTGTTCAAATGGTCGCCCAAGGCCCACACTGAGGTGCTTAGAGCATTGACAAAAAAGAAGCAGGAGAATGATGTTCTTTTCACAAATACGAAAATTAGAGTTGTACGAGGAGTTTTTAAGAGAAGTGAGTTAAAATTAGGAGACGTACCTATAAGCATGCCTAAGATTAATAGAGAGCTTGTTTTAGCACCCGTGGATCCGGGTTACATCTAAACTTGATACACAAAAGGTATGCATGAAAGCGAGGTTTTACGTATTAACCAGCCACTAAAAGAGGATGTATAGTAGATGACTGCTTGAGTAAATTTGTTGGGTGTATTACGAATATAGAGGTAGATATGGCAGGTGTTATAGTATACCAAGAATTTTATATAATGGAAGCTGCGAGTTTTGAAATATTGTTAGATATGCCTTGGTTAGCAGCATCCAAATATAGCTTGAGATGAGAGGACAACAAGTTGTGGTGCAATGTGCAGTCAGATAAGAAAAAAACTGCGTTTGTAGCTTTAGTGGTTCCCAGGCGATGGTTAAATGGTGAGGAAGAGGATAATCATAAAGAAGAAGAGGAGGAGGATCTAATGGTAGTGTGAAAAACAGATGTGGAAGAGATAGAATTAGTAGAATGACGGTTAGGGAAAACAGTAGAAGAAAGTATGAATGTCAATAATTTAAGAATCAACAAAGTTATTAATGCTGATAGTGAATACGTGGTTTGTCGAAAACATGAAGGAAGGATAGTATACTGGTACAAAGAGGATGAAAATCAGGATGAGACCATTAATGGATTGGGACCGGAGCTGGTAATGCGGCTTACAGAAGAAAATAGTCTCTTGATTAATATAGAGGAAAGTTTGTTTAAAGAAGAAAGACAACAGTTACATAGTAAATTAATTAAAAAGATATTTGCATTTAATTTATTGGAAATTGGCAAGACAGATTTAGTGCAATATAAAGTATGTACTAGGGGAAAGGAAATACCACCAGTACAAATGCGTCACATTCGTATCAACAATCTAGAACACTCTCGAATGTTCAAGGAACATTTGAAAAACATGTTAAAGCACAGGCTGTTAAAAAAAGGAACAGGGCAATATGCGTATCGCTGTTTTCCAGTTCGAAAAAAGAAGAGTGGAACTGGCCATTTTCATATAGTTGGAGACATAAGGCCTCTCAATAAATGCATTATTAAAGATACTTTACAGAATCTTTATATTTTTTAAAATATGATAATAATATAATTATTATATAATTAATATATATTTATTATATAAATTTTTAAATTATATAATAAAAATATAATTAAAATATTATTAATATATTTTAATTATATTTTTAATTATTTT